TTTCTTAAAGGTAGGAAATTAATATAATTAGGTGGTTATATCATAATTCATTCATTTGTTTGGCTTTCTAGTGTGGAATTCTCTGGTTATAGTGATTTTATCTTCACTCCAGGTTGAATTTCCAGAAGCTAGAATTTATGAAGAGACGCTCAACATTCTTCTGTACGAGAACAGGACAGGCCCTGACCAAGAACTGATGCAGGCAACATCTTCCAGAGGAGCGGTTACAGGAATGTCGTCGTACACAAGCGACGAAGAGGAGGAACGCTCAGGCTTAGCACGACTTCGGTCTAATAAGCAGAACAACACGTAGACATTCAAGCAATATTTGTTTTGATGTGTAACATTTTCCTTATCTGGTCTGTGTCTCAAATCTCCTAAACCTCATCATGTGTACTTTTTAAATTTATGTTGAAATATGTTTTTATTTATATCTTATTACGTGAGCAAATGTGTTAGGGGTGTGTCTGTGTCACATGTATGAACAGACTGATATGTCACTTGAAGGGATGTAAGTAGCTGCGTGTAAGGAAAATTTACGACTAATAATTTACTGTAAATTGTATTAATAAAATCGTAATATGATATGTATGGAGTTCATGGTTACCACCCGATACAGTTTCTTGTATGTTATTGTTTAGTGCAAAATATCATTGATAGTTTGCATTAAAATTTTATTCCGCAGTAAAAGTCTGCTTCAGTGCAGCTAATCAGTGCTGTCAATCTTTACTTTGTCTTCCAGATATGTTGAAACTTTTCAGTGTTTCAGAAAATATTGCAGTCACCATTTTCAGGGTTGTTGTGTGGCGAAGGGGGTGGGAGGTATAGGTCTTAGTGCAAGTGGAACAGGAGGTGACTGGATGAAGAGTGGACAGGGATGTTCAGTGAGGAAGATCCAGTAATTATGAAGAACGGTTGAAGTGAAAGAGCTGAAACCGGGATTTTCTCAGGGCACCATTGAAGTTGTGCATGTGTTATATTATTTTGATTTGCTTTTGTGATTCTGTGCTTACAGTAAGCCTGCATGTCTAGAACTTCAGTTTCGTCAAGTATGTGCGATGAAGGCATGTGATTAATGTTGGTCCAGAATTTTCTTGCAATGTGGCAGATATCAGTCACAGCAGTTTCGTAAATCAGTGGTTTTTCCAAGGCATAAATTTATTCCTAAATGATTTTGTACAGTGTAAGTTACTGAGCTGGTTATTAATCTGATATGTATGTACGTCATCACAGCTGCTTTAATTCTTTGGAATACTCAGCATAATAACTGTTAATGTTTTTTTCTGTGTGTCCTAACTGAAGTTTGGGAGAGTGTTTAGTAGAATGAATGAGGAATTTGGTTAGCTGTGCAACTTTTATGATATTCTCACACATTAAGATACCTAATCTGTTGACAAACTTTTGTATTCATGAGTAGTGATTGCATCTAATCTTACACTGATTGTTTAGCAAGATATTATTAGCTTGTTATATTTGTCATTAATTGCATGAACTCTGCCAAGTGCCTTAAAAGGAAAATAATTATTTTAACGTAAATTACAGCTGAACAATAACTTCCAGCTTTTGTTGAGCAGTAATTTACGTTATCGACAGAGATATTGGTCCTATTTCCTCCGAAGTTTACATCGTCCGAACATAGGTGGCAGTACTAGTGATGTAGCCACTGCTAGTTAAATATGATTCAGAATGATATATTTTATTATTTTCATGATATGACGCATCTGTGCTATGACGCTCAGTTTTGTCATACCCGGAACCGAGTGCTTCCGACGTAATCCGAATTGCCACACGAAATGATTTTGTTCTTTCCACGAAAGTGATGACGTATTTGAATCACAAGGTTGAATACGAAGTCTAGTGTCAGTAGTTTTGTGTTTGACTAGCAGGTTGGTGTCGGAAAGTAAGTTGATATCTGATTAACAAAAATAAGTGTCATAATATTCACGATTTAAAACATATTTTAATGTACATATGATTAGTTAGAAAATGGGCGTGGCCCTGTGGAAAACCACTAGACGAAAGAACGATTTTTGCAAAGGAAATGGAGAATGTATACTTTACTACTGTATTAAAGGAAAAAATGTTACTCGTTTTGTTATGAGGTTAAAGTATCAATGCCGTAACGTAATAATTTCTGTTTTTTTTGTAGGTCAGTAACAATGAGTTACCCCGGCTATCCTGGATATCCACAGGTATTGACATAATATTAACGATCAAATTAAGCTGAAGTCTTCACAGGCGGTTTGGAGAATCTCAAAAATATCGGATTGAAACTCCACATTTGCACGACTGATCACTTTCGAAGTCAAAATTGCAGTTAAAAGTATAAAATATCGCTTAACGTTTGATAATACCTGGTCCCAGTATTGACTGCAAGCAGAATTATTTTGAAATGTTGAGCATACGTTAACAATTTCTCATGAACATTCCATTTTCGTTTTCTATAGAACAGTTACAACATTCATTATGTGGGTTGTTTTAAATTATACAAGAATTCCGTCGCTCCTACCCGTGGTTTTGTTTATGGATTTCAACGTTCCAATAAACCTTGTAGGTAAAATATGAAGCATGGAGAACTAGTGTCTATCAACCCACTATCTGTTTTGGTATCTGTATTTTTATAAAACAATTCAAGAGAGTTGCAGTATTTCATCCAGTGATAATACTTACATTATTAAGCATCACTTTGTTCAGTGTTTGTGTACTTCCATGTTTCATATATTGATTAACCCATGGGTTGCATCTGATCTAACCTAACCTAACAATCTAATCTAATCTAGCTTTTATTGCTGATTGTAGTTGAGTGTTATAATGCACCTGATTTTGTATTACTCAAAACTTGCTGAAATGTTGCATTGGTTTGTAACCAAGAATGCTCTGAAAAGGTTCTCTATTCGGTATGCACACTTCCACCAAAAGTTTGAGACTTTGATTGCTTGTTCCCATTGCATGAATTAATGTGAAGTACATGCAGTAAAGTCCTCGTTGAGAAGCTGATTGTGATTCAGGTGGTCTATTTCCTATATTTTATGGTATCTGATGGTTCCTTACTGTATTTATAAGCTCTTGCCACTGATTCATGTCCAAAGCCAGTTGAATCCAGTCTCCACTCCACCTCATTTAAGATTAATTTTAATATCGTCCCATATATGCTTAGGTCTGCTGAATAATCTCTTCCCACAAGTTTTTCCAATAAAAATTTTACATGCATTTCTCATCTGTGCTATGTGTGCTTCTGTACTAAGACATGAGTATGAAAAATTAAAATTTATAACATGAATGAGATATTTGTGATTTATACCTTAATAAGACACTTTACTGTGAAGATGGCTGTCTTCTGGGTTGTAGTGCCATGTAGTCTGGTAGAAGTTTACCTGCGTTCCAGAGGTCCTTGCTTCCTCAATCATCAGAGCCTTATCGCCCTGATGATGGAGGCAGTAAAGTCTGCTTACAATTAGCAGTGAGGAAAGTAATGTAAGAGACTAAGTTCGTGTTGAATTTTAAATGTAAACTTTGCTGTCGTCGTTTATCATATATGCCTCCAGCGCTTCTCTACATGAATTCAGTGTAATATATTATAGTTGAGTAGTGTCTTTATTTGCTAATTATCTGCTCTGTTAGCACTGATTTCTCTTTCTTTGTTTTTTTTAAAGGCTGGTTCTGGAATGCCACTTCCCCAACAGCCAACTCCCGGTTTTTTCCCTCCACCCCAACATGCTACTGCCCAGCTTAGTTACCCATTGAACCCAGGACAGTATCCTTCTTATCCATCATCAGACACGCAGTCATATCCTTTTAGTAGCAATGCACCATATCCTTCTACGGGCCAGACACCATATCCATCCACAGGCCAGGTGCCATACCCATCCATGGGTCAGGCACCATATCCATCCACGGGTCAGGCACCATATCCACCCACGGGTCAGGAACAATACCCACAAGCAAGCCAGGTGCCATATCCATCTGTGGGTGGTAGCAGTTCTTTGTACCAATCACTTGGACAGTCCAATCCTCTGTATCCGACCTCGGGGCACGGTTTTCCTGCACCGGCACCTACTTCTTTTGCACCTGAGCCTCAGTCGTATAATCCCGTTACACCTGCTTATGTTTCATCCGTTGGTGCTGGGCCCCCAAGCATGCGTCCGGGTGGCCATAGCTTGAATAGATCTGGCACTAATGTGACACATACAGTTCATTCAACATACTCAAAGGTGAGGAGCGTCAGTTACCAGTAGAATTTTTTTCTGTGTTAAAGAATGGCTTGTCCGCATGCTACATGTTTGTAGCTTGTTTGCTTTGTAGTACTAATTAATGCCTTAACAAATTAAAACAATATTGTTTTAGTGTTATTAGAGGAGACATTGTTTTCAGGGTACTCCTACAGTGACTCCTGTTGCGTCATTCAGTCCCCGACAAGATGCAGAGATTCTTCGAAAGGCAATGAAAGGTTTTGGGACCGATGAGAAGGCAATTATTAGTATCCTTGCAAATAGGACAAATAGCCAAAGACTTGAGATAGCAGTGCAGTTTAAGACACTGTACGGGAAGGTACGTGGAAACTTTGTTCCTTCTTCCGTAGGCCACTTATCCACGTTAAATAATGTAGTTTTATATCTTATAAAATAAACTGTACCCTTGTGTTTTACAGCTCTGTAGACTTCTCAGTGCTGAAAGAAAAATGTTGTGCGTGGTGTAATCTGAATAACCTGAAATAAGTTTGATAACAAAGTGTAATTATCACTTAGGCTGGCTTGCTATTGTAGTTTTCGTAATTTTTACAGATAAATTATTTTGACTGACATCGTTTAATGAAACTAGTTCTTTGCGTTCGTACATTCGTGTGCTACGTATGTGGTTTTTCTTAATGTCACCAGGATTTGATATCTGACCTCAAAAGTGAACTCACCGGTCGCTTTGAGGATGTGATACTTTCCATGATGACTCCACTGCCGCAGTTTTATGCGAGAGAATTGCACGATGCAATAAGCGGGATTGGAACAAATGAGACAACCCTTATTGAGATACTTTGTAGTACAAGCAATCGTGAAATCCACGCAATTCGTGCTGCTTATGAGAGGAGTAAGTAAAAATATGCATGGACCTTAAAATGATGAAGTAATTGAACATTTTTATACCAAATATAACACCATCCAAGATTACAGGAGGTATATTTAGTTTTGGGACTTGGCAAGATTGGTGTACACTGACATTCCATAGTTCTTATCGCCACATCACGACGGTTATTGTTGCGCTAATGTTATCCAAGGCCCTTGTTAAGCAAGAATGTGGTCCAGCAGTTGTACTAGGCCATTCATGCACTAATGTTGCAGCCAGGATGATGCTAAACCCTTGGAACAGCAATTGTTGATGGCTGGGCCTCAACAAAGCAAGCATTTTGTGTGGCAAAGCCCCAGGTGTTATATACTCCTATTTTGGCATTGTCAGGTCCCCAAAAGTGGTCTTTCCACACAGGTTGCAGAACCCTTCGGAGTCAGTCGAGATCCCCCTGAGGTTTGGATTATCTAATCTGATATGGTACATGCTGATTGGTGTCCATAACATGAAAGACAACGTCATGGATTAACGACATTAAGAATGACAGTAACAGTTGGTTTTGATTGTGAAAAATCGTGTCTGTATCCTAGGAAAAATGCAACAGATAGAGGCAGAGGCATGTCCTGGTCCATAAAGTGTTCTTTGCTCGTGCTGTAGTACGAAGAACATCGTTAAAAATTTAAAATTTAAAATATTCTGATCTCAGTTATGTAACCCAACTGTTCATATTTCAGTATATGATTCAACAGTGGACCAAAGTCATGCGCAGCTTTTCCTGTTGAAATACAATTGCATGTTGGAGTTCGACATTGCGAGTTTTAATAAAACGTAGATAACGGCATGCTTTCTACAGGAAGGAGCACACTGCTTGCAGAATGTGGCATTTATTTACTAAGGCCACGAAGTGCATTGATGTGTAAATTTTTCCTTCATTCTGTTCATGGAGT